TGCGCATCTATGGAAGCTCGGGAAGAGACAATCCAATCCCTAGACAGTGAATATCCGCCATCGGCCTCGGGGGTTTGAGTGGGGACTCCTCGGCTTAAAGAGAAGGTTGAGGAGTACTGACAAAATGAACAGTAATTTGTTAGTTTTCTTATTGTTTTCATGTTAGTTTTAAAGATTATTATAGATGAAAATGTCCACAGAAAAAGAATGGTCTTTAAATGGCCCTCATTATGACGATGACAAGAATTGGCTGAAAATTTTAGACCAAACTTCTACGCCACAAGTGTGTATAGTCCCATATGCATACTTCTGTAAGCTGTGTGCGTGATTTATTCATTTTATTCACCAAGATTTAGCCAATTCCCTGCCCTTCCGAAGATTATGAAACCTCAAAGTGTACACAAATTCGATGTATTGGATTTGGAATTTATCAATTGGACTGGCATATCCATCAATAGTTTGTTCGAATAGGATTTCTATAAATGGATAAAAAATATTAAAAAATAATGAAAACACAACAGTGAAATAATTGAATAATAAAATAACGAAACAGAATTAATTTACTACGTAATCAACCTTTCCTAATTGCGTTCAGACAAAGTTTTCTCACAAGGTAATCGCTTTCCAATAACTCAACTTTACCTTTAAGGACACTACCTGTCTTGTGGACGGATCCACACATCTCTCCTCACTATACCCTTAATGAAATGATATATAGAACATGACCAACAAGAAATGCCTCCAGGTTTAAAATCGAGATGACTTCATAGGAGAGATAACATGAAGATGAGTGACCACGTAGTGTGATCATATTTTAGTTCACAGGGTTCATTAGACAAGCACCTCAGTAGCACATTTTGTCTATAATTGTAACTTTGCTCGAAGCAACTTCGACGGCTTGTGAGACTGTTTTTATTTCAATTGGAGGAGACGGGGAGGGGAGGGGAGGGGGGGGGGTGATGGGAGGATAGTTAACCGATTTTGAAAATATAATCGCATATTATTTTCATTATAATATGAGAGTGTTAAGAAGCACAGAAATTTCTGTTTTCATCGAGCTCGAGGCTTGTTGAATTGAAATTAAAACTCTGCAATATTTAAACTACGTGCAATGTAACTACACATTCACGACATTACTAATAGATATTTCATGAAGTTTCTCTTCTTTAATAATGCTTAAAAATACTAGAAAATCCTTAGTTACTGGACAAACTTACATAAAATAAAAATATAAAATCTACTTCCAATCGATCAAGAGTAAACAAAATTGTTGGAGCTTCATAGCAAACATGTTGAATGTAATGATCTTCACACACAAAAAAAAGGATTTGAAAAGTGACAGCATTGTCTAGATGCATGATGACACATTATCGCTTTTCGGCGCATAAAAGATTACGTTCGTTAAAACACTTATGTCTTCTTAATCTAAACTCAATCGATACTTAAACACTTACATATAACAATATATTTGTTTGTATATAATAGTATCTATCTATCCTATACAAACAATTTAAAATACTACTGTTTAAATATAATGTTACACTTTCATATTAAGCCATAATTATGATTTGACATGGCGTGAATGAAAAGAGATAATGATAGAAGGAGAGATGGGGAGCAGCAGAGAAAAAACAGTAGAGAGAGATAAGAGAGAGAGGGAGAGAGAGAGAGAGAGAGAGAGAGAGAGAGAGAGAGAGAAAGGCATGGTAAGAGACAGTGAGAGAGGGGAAGGGAGAGAGCAAGAAAGAGAGAAATAGAGAGAAAGAGAAGGACAAATTTGTTTAAAACTGTCTTATACATACTCATGACTATCATGTGACTTTCCTATTAGTAGTACAACAACGATCATATCCGTGATAAAAAGATCTCTTTTACTTCCAATTTGGATACGAAAATGTGTAATTAAATAACAGCCGGGTAATTATCGTTGATAGATATCTTCTTCGTTACAGGTAGTGATACATTGTAGTATATGATGACAGCTAACTCTATTATTCTGGAAGGAATTAATGAGTAATGAGTAAGGGCTCTATGTTCTTGTTAATTGCCATTAATTTATTTGTCCTCTATCCTCCTTTTCTGTGGGGGATGGAAATAAAGTCCCTTATAAATTATATATCTAATTGATTTTGTCGTTCCTTGAACAAAAACTATGAAATGCCACTTCATACCTGATTTACCAGAAAATGATTACAGACAATAATAAATAAATAAATTGCTTCTGACAGGGGAAAGGATAAGTAATCAAACTACCATAACAGTTTTCAATAGGTTTTCAAAATATTAGAACATGTAATTTTAAAATTGAAAGCTAAAAGATGCCCAAATATCATTCTGCCACAAGGTACACAAGGGACAGCATTTATACTATTACAAATTATATTACTACTGCAAAATGGTAAAAAGAAATAACCATATGATTATATTGCAGGGTAAGTGAAACATTAATATGTGCCTTATCCGGATAGACATCTGAGGAAAGTAGAAACGAAATTTGCAAAAAATAATGTTCTAATCGGAATATTGCCAGCTTTCGCAGAAAATAACCGATCAACATAAATATTTTAAAGAGATAATTTTTTTCGATCATTATAAAAATACAAAAGTTCTTTTCATATATCATTATTAGTAAGGAAAGATGTAACATGCATAACTTCACGTCACTTTCCATGTCGAGGACAAGCTATTAACTTTCAGACGGTTAAGATGAGTAGTGATTGCGTAACAGTTAATGATGCTAATTTCTGGCTGCTAAATTCGTGTAACTAAAAGCGGAAGAAAGGCCTTGTTAATGGTGACTTGATTGTTTTATGGCCTAGTAAGTCACCCGGGAGCGGAATTCCCATAATAAATCGAGACACCTGAGAAACCTGTTTTTCTTTAAATAAAATGAAGGTGACAAATAATTAGCTATCATGTAACGACAGGCGCTCTGACATCCCATCTTTTCAACAACAGGATACAAATAAATACATGTCAGAATAGATTCAGATAAAAGTAGTTATTTTTTGTGTGTTTATTTCATTTTATTGATTGTCTGTAATGGAAAATGCGTAATGTTATTTTTTAACATTAACTGCAGGGTGAAACCTGGATCACTTAAAGACATATAATGATATTTTCATAAAGTTTTAAGGCATCGACAATATTGTTTGGCATAAAAGTGTAATACTGTTACAACACGAATGTAACCAATGAATTTTTCGAAAACGTTTACCGAACGCCTATATCTTTATGAGCATTACTTCATAATGATCTACATTTCACTCGTTTAACATCTGCTAAGGGTTGGTGTACATATCGGTTAAACATTAATTACTTTAACTTGAAGGAAATTAGAACCATGCAAACCCACCAAAGATCTCAAAAGTATGACTTTGTATAAATGAAAGTGCACTGAGCATGAATATATATTTCATAAATACTTGAAAAAGCATTTATACATCTATTGAAATTAAGATCAATAATATTATATATCTGAAAGGCACTTTAAATACAAAATAGTAGAGATAGAGAAAAAAAGATGATGCAAAGATGCTTACAGACACATACAAATAAACAAGTGAATATGATAGGAGAGAGAAAGAGAGAGAGAGAGAGAGAGAGAGAAAGAAAAAAAGAGAGAGAAAGAAAGAGAGAGAGAGAGAGAGAGAGAGAGAGAGAGAGAGAAATAGCGACAATTTCTAGACAGAAGCATAAAGTTGGGGGTGAGTTGTAAATCTCGGATCATTTTTACTCTGCTTCAATTCGAACAGAGATGGCGTAATAACATCCAGCCTAGGGAGCTGACGGCGAGTGTATACACAGCATCATGCATATAGTCGTTCATCGCATGCATGAGCATATGTTTTACATCAGTCCCAGGCATGATACTTGTTATGATTATTTCAATATATAATTCTTTTAGGAACGCTCCCTAATAAATAAACACATATTCATCAAACTCCCACAAAAATGCTTGAGTTTGAAATTAATTATGAGATTTCACACCCCCAAAACACAGGCTTCCATAAAAAGAATTGATTTCTGAGCAGAGGCCTATCAAAATAAAATAAAACGTTTCAGTTTTTTAAATTTTAATTTCTTGAATGTGATGACTATTTTCTACTTCTTGGAATGTATCTATATTTGAAATTCATTAAAGCAATTCCAATATACATGATAATAATAACTATCACTCGTAGTTTAGTAAAGAAATGCCAGCGCTAAATTAAATTTAGATGATTAGACTATTTTGACAATAACTTATCTTGGAGCAACAAAAAAAACAAAAAGATTCACGTGATTTATTTTAAAACATGAATTTCTTTAATACAACCAGTTTTGATAGACCACCACTTATACTTAGCGATGTGAACTTGGACAGTGGACGTGTTGTTGCTATTGCCATGTCGCAGAGTTCGGCAAATACGCGAGTCTATACTCTGTCCGCCTCGCTAGGCGTAAAGCTATGGCAGCCATAAACTGACAATTTTCAACAATCTAATAATTCAGCCCGTCTCGCATTGGGCGATGGTAAAATAATTTCACGAAGAGGGAAAAAAACTCTCATTCACTTAGGAGACTGGTTAGCTTCGCACCCGCCAATCATGATGACGTAGCACGATAAGTGTCTGCTTAATGGGTAAGGGTTGTTGTGATTGGCTGCTTAAAGTGATTGAGCGGTACACGTCACAGTAGTCTGGGCGGGGCTTGTGCATGGCTGAGTTGGGTGACTGAGCGCCCCTGTGTATGGCGATAACGGGGCTACTGGTATGGTGTAGCATGGTATGTGTATTAGGGGGTAGCGGTCATAGACAAGGGGGAAACGACCCATGGGTCTGAAAAGGTCTAGCTTTAGAGACGCGCAGGGCTGACACAAACTCGTGAAAGGCGAGCAAAGCGAGTAGCGCACGGGCCTCTAACCATTTCAGATGTAATACACTTGCCAACTCGTAGCAAAGTGTGTTTTACATGGGAACGCGTGGTACGATGTACAGGGATTTTGATGTATAGGTCCAGTGCCACCGAAAAAGTAGTACACAGAAAGGAGTTTGGACTTTATATTCTACGGACACACATTGAATGTTATCATTACCAGTAGCATCTTCAGTGAAAGTCGCATCCTGGTTTTATTTGCTGCTAAGCTGACCCAGTGGTCACTCTCTCCCTCACCCTGGGAGTCCACTTACAACACCCATCTCGCCTCCGTGCACCCTTTCGTTACCCCTACTGGGAGATTTTTCACTCTCTTTAACGTCTTCACTTGGACAATTATTATCAACATTGGAGGTTCTCACTCTGTTGAGTTTCATCTACCCTCAACTGTTTTGGGTCAACTTTTTGGTACGACACCAGGAATCGACTAAGTTGGAATCATAATTAATTTGTTTCACTTGTAAAGATACTTGTCTGGTGGCAGCCACAAGTTATTGTTGTTGCTGACGACTGTTTGTGGCGGTGACGACGTTGCATCGTCTCAGAGATATCTGACTGGAAAATGACCAGCTATCCTCAATTTGGATTTCCATACCCTGCTTCTTCTCAGGTAAGTTCAGAAAGAAAAAACAAAGATTTTTAAATTACTTTTCTTCAACTGTTATACTATGTTTCATCAGGAAATTTCAATATGCAACGATGTATTTCTGTAACAAAAACTACATCAAACACGTATAAACATGGTTTTTTTTTTCTTCTAACCTGAACTGTATTTGAATTAAAAAGGTAAATTGCAGAATCGAAGTGCATTAAACTAAATAATTTTTATTTTCATGAAAAGCACAATGTACCAAATTTATAGTCCAATGATTTGCCTCGTCTATAATGCAATATGATATTTTGCCAACTTTGGGGCATTATGTGCTCTCGTTGTGATTTGTAGAAAAGACGTACCTAATTATAAGCAAACTTCGATTTGAGAGTAAGGAATTCGTTTATTCAACTTAAGTTAACTCTAAGTCTAACTTGATTAGTAGATGTAGGACACTCAGTCGCTGCTTATACGCACACGACTCCATACAATGTAACAGAGCGGAGCGGTAGTCATTATCTCCCGGTCCCAGTGCGGCCGAGTATACACCTATGCATACCCTCATACTCTACGACTTGGACTGGAGTTAGTTTATTGTATGACCTGAATAGGTTTAATAGTTAATCATTGGTTTAAGTTCAGTGAGTGGATTATTGTATTATCAATGTGCGCCCTGGTGAAACTAAATTTTAATTCACAAGTTAGAAAGTGATTAAGACTTTAAAATACCCCAAGGCAATTGCTGTTAATTATTAATTAATTGAGGAATACTGGAATAGGATAGAGAATATTTAATTGACATACTTGATCCAGATATTGTAAAGAATGTTCTGAATATGTCTAACAGGCTTCAATATCCCCGTAAACATTCTTTTTCATCGTCATTGAATCGTAATAATGATTCAGTCAGACTTGTTTGACACATAATAACATTACCCTGCCTCAACTGAATCGTATTAACGGTTATTAATTCCATTATAAGTTGATGAATACGATTGCTTCCAATTAATAAGATTATCACCCACTTTGTTGACGACCTTTTGAAACGTGTTAAATTATTTCCAGACCGAGCACGCGTATAAAAGGCTACTCGGCGTCCATCCTTTTTGTACTTTTTAATTTATCCCAATTATGTTTTGAAAGATTTTGAATCATTGATGATTTTTTTTGTATGAAAATAAGGCGTTGGGTCGTATCATTTGGTTATGACCTACCATTTTAGATTGCCTCGCTGCTTTATGAGCCGCAGTATAGGCGTTTATATTCCACCTGTCATGATGCTGGCATTGTCACCTTATAAGAGAGAGAAAGACAATGGCACTATGTTACAGGGTTGAGGGTAGAATGGAAGAGAATAGAGGCAACACGCAGCGATTGTAATTAAAAGTAAATCGAACATGAAGAGGAACAAAAGCCAAAGTAACTCGGTCAAATTATCATTTCTCTCCGTGTTATACACATGTCAATTGGCGTCTTTATCATTTGTTCTTAACTAGGGTAGATAATTATAATCGGTATAATTAAAGGTTAAGTCATTTTTCATCGATGATGGAAAAAAACAATGTAAACAAAAATGAATGACGCTTGAATAGAAACTAAGGGATCCTAGATTAATTATTCATTGTTTTAAAGAAATATATGTCACTCAGAATCTACTGTTAGTTTAGTGTGCTTTTTTGAATAAAATAAGACGCTGTTTAAACTTGAGAAATAGAATTTTGGATAAAGTATGTTTTGTTATTTCTCTCTTTTCCTTCCAGTTACTCATGTCAGCCGCGGCTCCCGCTACCACATGCTGCGAGTCGGGCCGCCCGGTGGCCAGCGATCCTCACCCGGGCCAGGCCGTATGTTGCCCGCCGCTAGACAGCCGGGCAGCGCTACTACATTCAGCTCGGGTCTCGGGCCTACCCACCGCACTCTACTCGTCGCCCTACGCGGCCGCAGCCGCGGAGCAGGGTTACGTACACTTCGCTGCCGACCCGTCGGCTTTCTACTCACCTCTGGTAAGTCTCCTATCTTTTATTTCCTACCGAATGTTTCGCGGTAAGAGTTTCGATGCGGTATTTAGGCTTAATGTTTGACGGTATGAAGTGAAAATTGATATAGCCAATTTAACGATTTAATCTAAATTATCTGATGAAGTTAGCATACAGATTCACAATTTGATAATGGACCAATGATTCTAAACCATTTCACTTTCTGATCTCCTTTCCACTTGACCTACTTTATTACTACCATACTTCTCTAAAGACTTGTTCGGCATATGGATAAAAGATGTAGCAATATCAACGTTTATTATGGTTAAATATACAAAGCTAGGCGGATAATGCAGCGTTATGTTAAATCTTTTAATTTCATTGTACCCTCTTATGATAACATGACGAAATGTTATGTGTTGAAATCCATATATTTTAAAATTATGACAGTGTTGAAGATACATGTAGTTCAACGACTTTGCGAATGGATTATGATATTCATAACTCACCAATCTTGGCCGGAGGGAAGATTTGATCGAGAAGAAAGCTTCCCTTTCTCCATCAACTCTAAGCTCATCAATTATCTCTCATTCATTGAAATGAGAAATGATCCAAATTTGGCACGAAGAAAAGAGAGAAATAAATTATACCGCATCATTGTTATCTCACACAATAACGTCAGAAGGCGATATGGATAGACAGATTTTATCAAAGAAATTCTGGAATATAATTTTTCTTCCTTTCTATCTATCTTCGTCTCTCCATTTCTCTCTCCGACTCTCTTTTATATTTCTATACTTGCTACAAAGTTTAACAATTACGTTTCTAATAGTCAGGATATATAATCCCTCTAAAGTTCGCTGTAAATGGCGTGAAAAAAGAGATCTTCTTATAATAATGTGCGGTTAGCATATAATAATATGTGGTTAAGATATATGAGATGTTAAGGTGTAAAAGAAATATCTGGCAGGGAAAAGGAAGGATAACGTTGGTCAAATTAAGAGGATTTCATTGATGACTTTGTAAATTCACCAGGGGGATGATAAAAGGCCACATCGCGTTTGATTAACTAGTCAATAATATTGTTAATCTTTCAACAGAGGTTTATTTTTCAAAATTTTATGGTGTTTTTGAGAAATGTTTTGACCATGCAAACTAAGAAATCAAATAAAGTATATCAAATTTCAAAATAAGACAAGTCATTTATAATGATCATCAGTTCTGTATCGAGGTGTTTTAGATAAACCAGATTAACTATAAACTAGTCTTTATGAAAAGTCATGATGTTGCATTTTGTTGATTTAATTCTAACAAAAAACAATTAAACTTGGAATGGATTCGCCTTAATGTATAATGACTATCTAGATGTATTGGCAAACAATCACTTGATATCTTTGGAATGATCTAAATGTAGTTGAATAAGTAGTAGTAATTTTATGCAAACTTGGTGTGGTAATTGTTAGTTGTTATTCCGAGCATATGATGTAAAAGGAGAGATGGTTTGGATGGATAAAAATGATATTTGTGATCAATTAGGAATCAAAGATGCGAGCAAATGGAGAGTTTGACTTTCATCTGGTTATAGCATCAATTATTTAGGCCATCCCCCTTTCCATGACTGCCTCCATCTCTCTCTCCCTATGTCCCTGTCTCTCTCTCTCTTCACCTCTCTTTTCTTCTCTCCTCCGTCCGAGTTCCTCCCATTTCCTCTCTTCACCTCTCCCTCTCCCTCTCTCTCATCTCCCCTGTCTCTGTGTCTCTGTCTGTCTGTCTCATTGCCCCCTCTCTGTTTCTCTCCCCACCCTCTCTCTATATCCCTCTATATCCCTCTCTATCCCTCTCGTCTCTTTCTCTCCCTTCATTTTCTTAATATTTCGCGTGAGTTCTTTCATGACCAATGAGGGGCTTAATGGGCGATCATAAGTATGATGCCCCGGGCAATAGTATATATTGAATATACCCCTCTAAAGACAGTGATATAGTACAAAAATATACCCCTCTCTATAGAGACCATGATTAATAACGATCATTTTCATCTACACTCTCACATCTCAGTTCGATAAACCCTCAGCTTAATAGTTTAATTTCAAACAGCATCGTTGTTATTTTTCATTTACCAATCGAGCTGATCTTATAGATATAGTTCGGATATGGTTGTCTTTTTATTTGTTTAAAAACCAATTTGTGAAAACTCGATACGAATAAAAACCTATGGATATAAACGAAAGATTGTGGTTTGCATTAAACGAGGAAGATAATTACATGAGCGCGTTTATGGACAAGTTTAACAATAAATATAGAAATAAACAATTTTGTAGAATTTGGTGCTTTGTTGTTTTAGATATTGATAATATGCAAACTAAACCTTCACTTGACAACCTGGGGGTGAATAATGATTAATAAAGTACTTGAAACGGGCATTGCATATTTACATTAAGAAGAGCGTGTAAAACCTGCGTGCATGGTGGGTTTAAGCCGCAACACACAATCATTCTACATTCTAATCCAGAATTATCATTATATCAGAAGCCATGCGGTCTGAATGGAGAAAAAGCCTGTTACTTGCTCAGCAACAATACAAAAACGAAACATGAGATTTAGGACGGGGACACCATCCATATCCAAAAGTTATCTTAAAGCTCCTCATAACCGATGTAATTTTCGAGGCCAACATTCAACATTGCATTCATCGCACCAAACGACTTAACCGTGCTTTTAAGCAGAGCCCCTTCTTACTTCTTTTCATTTTTTGCCTTGTCGATCAAGCATTTAATGGTAGAGACAAGCGAAGAATTGTGTGCCGAGCGATTTAATGGCGAACAATACCGATCCGATGCAAACCGATCGATACAAGAGGCATTGTCCACTACAGATGGATGTAAAGCTTAAGGAATGAAAAGCAAGAGAGTTTTGAATACAAATGATCCACGTATATAGATAATTCGAATTTGTATACGGCAAGTCCGTATGTATACGACTTTCTGTTGTCGTCAGACAAGAGATTTTTTAGAAATTATGATCGTCTCGTAAGTGTTCCAGAAAATAATGTGTTAATAGAAAGTATTTAGGAAATAGAGAGGGGATGCCGTAAGAGACTTGAAAAATGAAGGAAAAAAAAGAAGATAAATAAAGAGGGGGAAATGGAAAAGAATGATCGATGAACGGAGGATGCGTTGACCGACAATAATTTTGACGAAGAGGGACGGAAAGAATAAACACGACCAGATGAAATAATGAACCTTGGACATCCCTTAATTTACATTTCCTCCTTCATATCAGATTTCTTCCATTTTGTATAAACAAGGTGAGAATCAGTTCATAAAATGTTTAATATTGATAGAATCCAAATTCAAATTTTCGCTCTCATCTCCGCGTGTTGTTTAGCATCCACTGAAATGTCAAACAGTGATCAGTCAAAATGTCAGAGAAATGGATACAAAAGAAAGCAAAAAAGCAATAATGGGCCTTGTGTGGCAAGTGCCAACTCGCACTGACTGTATTTCCCCCATTATATCTTAGATGTTAATGTGCCCTTCACCCCGCTCTCTCCCCTTCTCCCTTTTTACTTTATTTATCCGAATTCAAATTTACTTTACATCCATCCTTAGCTAATGATTTTCTGTAAACATAATAATCGGCTCTTTACCCCCTTTTCTATCTCTCTGTCTCTGAATCCCCCTCCCTCCCTCATTTCCCCCTCCCCTTTCTCTAATGCTCTCTCTCTCCCTCTCTCCCTCTTCCCCTCTCTCTCTCTCTCTCTCTCTCTCTCTCTCTCTCTCTCTCTCTCTCTTCCCCTCCCTCCCTCTCTCTCTGTCTACCTCTCTCGAAGTGTATATGGTCGGAGGAAGCGAGTTGCAATGTCAAGTGTGATGGAGCGCTGGGTTAACTTGCCTCAATCTAGAGCTCTGCCGGTAATGGAAACTTGATCGCTCGCCCAGACTCAGGGCGAGAAAACAGTTTTCACGGACGGGGGCCCCATGTTTGCAAACGGCATTTGGTTGGATAAGCGCATTGTTTGGCATTATAGCATTGGTATACATTTTCAGGACTATCATCATTTCCCCCTCTCTTGCTTTGCTTGCCTAAGATCTCGAAGATCGCAAGCTTCAAAAGCGAGAATGAGAGAAAAACAAAGGGCTAAAATTGTGATGAGTAATGAGACAGAGAGAGAGAGAGAGAGAGAGAGAGATTCGGATGCCATGCGGTCAATATCACGGCAGTAAGTTTGTGTTGTGCACTCGGAAGTTGTGAATATTATATGGCGGATTGCGTCGCGAAAGAATTGTTGATGCATCAGCCAAACCTTACTGAGGTGAAACTAAATATTTTTATCAGAACGGATGAGCCGAAATTGAGAACAAGAAGTATCGCATATTCTCAGCCCAAAATACTATAGATACTCACAAATAGGGTCATGCTAATACATTAAATGCATAGAAAATGGAACGCACAAAAGGCTTACTGGCTGTTGATTATCCTGTAAAGAGACGATTGTCATATCTTTAAGTTCTTGAATAAAATTTAATCTTTTTGAAATAATTCTCAAGATCAAGGATGTGGGCGAATCTGTGGGTTCAGACCTTAACTTACCCTTTCTTGTTCTCATTTCACGTACGTCACAATAGTTTCCACTCTCCAATTAAAGTCCGATTAGAAATACAGTCATGCCTGCAAAAGAATTGGTAGAATGAAATGATAAATTCCGTCACATAATATTGAACATACATGTAGGCATTCAAATTGAAAGAATACAATAACCAGTTCAGATATACGACACCAAGTTACATTTCGAATCATCTTCTTTAACCTTATTGTGTAAAGTGAAATGACAGTGTTATTTCATACACGATGATGATCATTATCTTGGTGCTTTATATAAACAAGTAAATAAGATATTGAAATAAGTAGAGACCATACAGGAACAAAAAATATCCTCTATAAACACAGCAATTCAGCTTTGAAGCAGTCTTAAGAATAGAATAAAAATCAAATTAAAAAAATAGATAGATTTCATTGCAGTAACTAAATCATAAGTAGATTAATTGCGAATCGACAAATAGTTTATCAAGTTTTAGTACTTTAAAAAAATTGTTCTTGGAGGAGGAGGAGGGGGGGGGTACACAACACGGAAACTATATTCCATATATAGGAAATAAATACCGAGATTAAATCACATCAGATACACACTGAAAAAAAAGAATGGTGGAATTATGTAAGTGCGATATACTAGCATAGCATGCGATATGAAATTAAATGACCCTTATCAGTTTGGGATTAATTATTGAAAGAAATGGTGACTCGATCGCTGTATGATTCAGCGATTGTGAATAATGAGAAAGAATCAATCACGTCTTTGCCTCTCCCCTCTGAGACCACTGATAATATGATTATAATCATGATGTCACCTTTTGGAAATAAATACAAATAAATCTAATGTAATGACCATATCAGATGCAAATTATATTTGTCTCAAAAGCAGTCGTTTTTTGTCGTTGAATATTGTAAGATATTGGCCTTCGAACTTGTTTTATTTAATTTAATGTTTGTACTTTAATTCAGACTACCAAAGGTTTGCTTAGATTTATTTCGACTATTGTTTCTCCCTGAATATTAAAAGATATTGTCCTATACAAACATGTTATATTTTTACTGAACTCTGCAGTTTAGCCTATATACCAAGAGTGTGTTTATTAGATTCAATTCGTCTTTTGTTGCTGTTTTTCCTTGAAATTCCGGTTTGATCGTCATTTATATCTGTCATTATTCTCTCCCTGTCTTGTAATTATGCTCATCAATTCATCCCAAGATATTGACCCCTTTTTCATTTCTTTTCCAAACCTCATCCTTTGATGAAAGTCAGTCAAATACACAGATGATTCACTTTTTATAATCCACCCAATAAATCAACTTATCATGATGATTATGATCGCTGCTTCCGTATTCAAACATTCAAATTATATGCGCACCCACCCGCGAAATTATCAAATACGCATGGAGTTGTATTAAAGAAAGTGACGGGTCCATTATGAGCCCCCATGCAGGTGCTTTGCGTTACCCCTAACCACAAATACTGGTCTGGACAGTTTTGAGAAATGGACCGGTAGGGGGCTACACGATTTTGAAAGGACCTCTGCCATGTTTCCTTAATAATGGGTGTAAAACAAATATTTTGTCTCCTGCAAACGGTGACTCAATATTATTTTCGATTTAACGTGAGGACTTCCCCGTCACATGTACAAAAAAAAAAAAAAAAAGAAGAAGAAGACACACAAAAAAGTTAAGTAAAAGGAGGGTGGGTGTTTGTTAAAGATGGAACGACAGCTTTGCATAATGCGATAATTGGATGATAATTGTGTTAATTCCCTCAAATAATAACTTCATTTAAATTACTTTAAAAATAGACACATTATCAAATCATCAAGCGGTGACACATTGTTACACGCATGGCTGGTTCTTACCAAATTGTTATGGATATGTATTTTTTTCTAAATGAAATGTCATTTAAGGCAGACAAGTTGGTTCATCTCCTGCTCATTTAGAAATTGAAAAAACAAAGATTTACTGCTTATAAATAAATGCACTCGTGTGCTCAGTACGATTGAGAAAAGCGCTTGCAAGTATATCAGTACATCGATGGTATATCATCATAACATCGCATTGAAAGAATTTTGCACAAAAACCAGCAATTAGTTTAAAACCTACATGTAAGCTTGTAGCGTGATTGCTTTTTGCGTGAGTATTCTTCGACGATATTAACATGTACGATAGTATTTGAAGGCTCAAAGTTGCCATTAAAAACTTAATGTAAAACGTATACATGTTTGTCTTTTTATAATTTTAGGTGTTTAATGAAAATATTGAGGAAGAAAAAAAAATCAGTTTACATGGTTCACTTCTGTTGAAAAAAAGAAAAAAGAAACTCGTTTTCATTAGTTTCATAAGTTACCAGTCCCGAATGGAATTCTAAATCAAATTTTCTTCCCGTATTTATATATTTAATTTTTTCTGCATTTCTAACCATATTCTATTATTTCTTTTATTGGAATTACAGAGCTCTGCGTATGCTGACTTGAAGGGTACTCCAGAGGGTTACGCCGCTGCCCTAGCGGCCCAGCAAGCAGCCTGCTATCCGTATGACCCAGCTACCTACCAGTACTATGGTGACCGGTAAGTTTCACTCAATTTTTCTTGGACATGTTAATTTTTCAGGTCACCTTTTATATAATTGGATTATAATTATAGAGGCCTTTGTCTTGTATTTATTATTTATATTCTATTTTCTTATATCTAAACGATTTTATTTTAATTGCTCTTACCCGAGATCAGTTAGTTTTTATTTTTCGATTTTTGCAAGCTTTGCTGCACTCTTTAATTCAAATTGTTTTATTGTTCGGTTACTTCAGTTGCCGCCTGTCAATATCAATTACACAAACATACAACTAAATCCCGCAATTCCTTCCCTTCATCACGATGACATTTTAAACACTCATCATGGAACGCTGAATCTGTCCATGAAACGCTTGAAATCAGTTTTCATCAACTCTCCATGTAATTCTGATTTGGATTTAATGGTTTAATTCCAACATCTAATTCAGCTATGAGGGGGCAACACGGCGATCGGGTTTGCTAGTAATTTAATTTAGTTCTGATTGACTGAGGGAGACCGTTGTTTCTCGTTAATCGCTTTCAGCGTAGACGGGTTATTATTGCGATCCCGGCTCGCGTATCTACCCAGAATTAGCATTATTTTACGCTGCTTGTAGGGCTAATGAAGATTTAATGAATATAAAAGGGTCTCACGCAGGTTTCGGAATACATCGGAAGGATTCGTCGTTCGACCGTGGCCGAATGCTAGCCGGAGGGGCGACGGTTGATGAAGTGGTCAGGGTTATATATTTGTATTTTACGAGGAGAGGGTAATGACAGTCAAGTCTATTTTTATTCTGGTCTGAATCGACGTAATGCCCGGTCAAGATTACGTATCAATTTAATCATTTACATTTTCTGCTGTGTGTTCTGCCTTGTAGATACTCCAAATTTTTTATTAGATTTCATGTGATACTCTTATGCAGCTTCCTGCGTAATATAATTGCTATATACGTCAATCTGCAACTCAACTTATATCTGTGCATCACCATTTATTATTTGACATGCTTTCATATATTTCTTTTTATAAATATTATTATGTAAAATACGACTGAATAATAAAAGGAGTATAATGGGTACACTCCCAAAATATTACTTGTTCAATTCACTCGAAACACAATACTTTTAGCACTCATTGTATAAATTATTTTACGTGAACTTTAAAGAAGTCTGTTAGACAGGTAGGCGTACAATATTTAGAGATAGACAATTCAACATTCAGTAGACAGGTAGGCGTACAATATTTAAGATGACAATTAAACATCCAGCTTTCAAGTCAAGAGGCGAACTACATTTATTCAAGTATATGTAGCGGTATCTATAAAGGCTTTGTATATGTCTGTATAGACATAAGAGGAGTACACCTGGCTTACTCAAACATTTCACAAGCTTTCATAATATAGTGTATCAAGTCTTTCAAATGCACTTCAAACTAACATTTGAAACTCTCGTGTGTAATGTAAGGAATAGTCGGAGCAAATATGTCGAAGAATTCATGCATGTTTGTCCTGAACTTGAACATGTTTAGTGATCCGCGTTTTCAACGAGAAAAACAAGGGGCGGTCTTGTGGAAATCCTTTTGAATATTTCTACCTCATCAAAATTAATTGGTAACATCCAAGTGATGTTGTAGAGTGTACTTCATACCATGCTAACCCCGCGCGGTCATCTCCTCCTCCACAAAAACAATGTTGCCTTTTGCCTCTTCATATTTTGCGAATCGTCTTGCGGAATTGCAACAAAAGGACTGTTTGAATGGGTGCATAATAGAGAAAGAAGTCGGTTTACTCAAGCCGAGAGACGAGAGAGTACGACTGTAGCTTTTCTCTTTGATCGTCCGATGTTGGTTCTTAGCAGTCGTGATCGTTCGACTTCAAACCAGAAAAAAAAATCCCAGTCACTACTAAGTAGCTCGGTGCTATTCCCCCATTAGCGGCTTGTTCCCGTTCTCAATATCTCAATGACTAAAGCATTCAGGGGAAAAATGGGAATATTTGATTTCTAGTTCATGGATTTTCCAGATCGGGCGTATTTATTTTGTCTTTCATTGTATTCCAATAAATTGTGCGTCTGGATGTGCAAAAGTGCATCGCTCGCTCGTAACGGGTGGATGTCAAAAAGTACATCCATCTATGGCCGTACGTAATGACAGCCTCAGCCTTATCTTGGAGGGAATTAACTAGTAACATTGAGACTGAGAAAATGCACTTTTATAATTCATCTCCTACAAACATAATTCAATTCTTGTTTCTGTTTTATTGATATCTTATAACTTGATTAATCTGCTACATTGATGCAAACATCTGAACATAGAGTACTAGAATTGTTTGATCTTTCGACGGGCTTGTATTGGTCTTACTTTTGTTATCGATCAGAGATCAATCTTGAGCTTGAGCCATTCAAAATCATATCTTCCAATTTGTTGAGATAAAAGTTCTAATGTAAAGTTTTTTATTCTCTTTCTATCTGTCAATTTGTTGATAGAAAATAGTTTCAAAATAAAGAATGCATGCTCTGTTTTATTTAAGCGCACAAACCCGAGCAGCGAACTACAAAATCAAACAATGTTTTGATATTGAATCACAAACAGAGAAAGTGCATTTTGTTTGTTTCAATCTTGATTTTGAATTCAAGAGTTGGACCGCGCTCGAAGCAATCCTGCCAACAAGCTTGCTTCAGCTCGATGAAGATCAGAGTAAATATCCATATTCACAGTGCTTGAAAAATTGAATAAGACTATTAGCACATCTCGAGTTGCGAATTCGAGAAATAAACGCAATTCTTTTGAAACACACCACTCCTTTTCGCGCTATAAAACCGTTCATTTTCATATCTTGCGCTCATATTTCACCTTAATAGTCCGTTGTATTACCATGAAAAATAATCAAGTTTCTCGGTGTCCCGGTTGTACTGGCGAGCTTTGAGGTATCTCACTGTTGCCAATTTGGGCCGTCGCTGAGGAGAATTGAGTTAGGATGAAACCCAAGGAGGTAATTTACATACGATGAGGGAGAGAAAGAGGAAGATATAAGAGGGTAAAGATGATTCCCCATCATTGTCTGGAGGGGGGTAAATCCGATACTCCGATTCCTTGCAATATTTGCGAAGTGTTTACACGCTCCGAATGAGGATGTGCATCGTGCAAGCGACTGGAAAGACCGATTGAGGAATGTGCATTAAGTTCATTCTGCGTCTCCGAGCACAAAATCGAGAATGGAGGGAAAAAAATAATGAAAACACATCAGTTGGTTAAGAAGAGAAACAATTATTCGAGCATAAAAACAACCATTCTATGAAATACGTGTTAATTCGGTATGAGGTTAAAACATCAACGTATTTCGCGTGTCGTGTCAATTCTGAAAGATTTCTTCTTTCTTTTTTTGGAGGGGGTGGGGTATCAGTGAACGATCTATGCACTCAAAATGTTAACATTTCTCTCTCTCTCTCTCTCTCTCTCTCTCTCTCTCTCTTTCTCTCCCTCTTTGTCTATCTAGCTATGGAATGGACCTGAACGGAGCGAGAAGAAAGAACGCGACCAGGGAGACCACATCGACACTGAAAGCATGGCTTTATGAGCATCGTAAGAACCCGTACCCGACCAAGGGCGAAAAGATCATGCTTGCCATAATTACTAAGATGACCCTTACACAGGTAAGAAGAATTGTCGTCATCATTGTCGCCGTCGTTAAATTCATCTTTTGTTTCATTTCGTCAAGTTTTCTCTTAAAAGCACATTGTGTTACTTGTGTTTTCATTCATTCATACTTGAACATATTGTGTGTAAAATATTTTCTGAGAGTATTTTCACTCATTCCTTTTTATGCTTTTGTTACATATTTTTTTTGAATGCCTTAGTTCATTTGACTTATTGAAATTTCAATTCAAGAAAGAATTTTGATTTCTTGCTTTCTTTCATAATACTAAGCCATCGTCATTTTGCTCCTCTTCTACTTTACAAACATTATCCTTGTCCAACAAAGGTTTATTTAAAATTCCATGGAAAAAACGTTGTTGTCTCAACTCACTCATGCAGGGAATAATGTATTCTGTAACATTTTATTTATAGCCACACGCTATAAAAGAAATGTATCTAGGAGCGCGTTTATCTAGGCTTGCCACTAGATATGTACATATCGTACCCCACTATCGAACCCCACTATCGTACCCCACTATACGATCGTGATTTGCGGGATGTCGCGTTTATCGACCCTTCACGATTCAAAATAAAGGCCTTGTGTCTGCCCAGCTGTTTTGACCCGGGAAGCAGACAGTTTCTCGGAGGTCAACTTCACACGTATGCTTGTACACAACACCTGGGTGGTCATATTTGTATGTGAGGTTCAAAACAGCTTTGCGTTTATCGATCTCTCAGAAACGTGATTCTGGCTGTATGTCACATTCAAAACGCACCTTTTTGCGTCTTTAGATATGCCCATATCTAAAGACGTTTGAAAAAGGCTTTGCGTTTATCTACTTCTAAATTTGCCTGAAAGACGTTTGAGAAACCTGATTCTAGCCAAAAATTTGCTAGATAAACGCAACCTAGATAAATTGTTTTTCGCTGCAGCGCATCCCTGTCGTATCTTGATCATCGTTTAGCCCTCTACTGTGTATCACATACTGACGATATGCTTAGCCTTCAGGGGTGAAATATCTGCCCCAGGACGAGTCATCTTCTCGCATATCTAGCTTCTTCGTAATTGGCATTCCAATCAGATATCGACAAAATAAGTCATGCCTTAGGACACTCCGACACACACTACCATACCATTACAGTTTTCTATTCTCACTCTCTCTCTCTCTCTCTCTCTCTCTTGCCCGTGCCATCTCGCCATCATCAGATACATATTTCATCGCTTGAAACATTGCTTAGATTATCATCAGAAATTAGTGCAGTAATTTTGCTGGTGTTTTGTTTGGAGAGGGAGAGAACATGTAACATTTTTGCGGAGTGTTTTCGATTTTTCCCTTGGGAGAAATTATGATTTATGAAAGCATATCAACGACATGACAAACAAAATATATTGAGAATAAATGATTACGAGGAGAGGGAAAGTGTAAAACAGCGAATGTGAAACAAAGGGCGTAATAGAGAGTTGGGGCCAGTCAAATGATTAAAAAAAAAGAGTGAAGTCTGTAAACGTGCGTGTTGTATCTGTCCAACTGATTTAACCTGGGACTGAACTTGTTTTTATTGATTACTCCTAAATTTAATCCGGAATGAGGTAATGAAATGGTTATGGATGGAGGTGTTGAGGCAGTCAAGGTCGGAATGGATGTCGTTCATCTCACCTTTCTGACCGTGCCGAGTGCTCAATTAAGATCGGAATTAAAACTACCTTGTTCCGAAATCAAACTGATTTGTTTTCCCCTAACAACGATTAAATGGATGAGATGGAGATAAAAGGTCAATCCTCGCTCATTCCTTTCTGAGAATATCTTTCCATTTTGGATTATGTCTACGTGGAACCAGTTACAATGACTAATTACAATTTGATGTTACTAGGCAATTACGATTATTCATGTTTCTCTCTCTCTCTCTCTCTCTCTCTATCTCTCTCTCTCAGGTTTCGACATGGTTCGCTAACGCTCGACGTCGTCTCAAGAAGGAAAACAAGATGACGTGGTCGCCCCGGAATCGATGCGGTGATGGTACCTCCGAAGACAAAGACGACTGCGACTCCGTGGGCGATGATGACGACGACGCGCGCGACATCGATGTCGACGTTGACGGTGACGATTTGGATTCGAAACTCGATGGTGAATCGCGGCTGCTGGGGAAGGATATGGATGACGACCACCACCGTGATCACCGAGACGATGAGGATATTAGAATGAGGCTGCACGAGTCTGCCAGACTTGGACTTGTGATGAGAGACAGTGACGTCATGGCTGATCGCATGGACTCAGGTAAGAAATCCTTGATGATAATATTTTTTTTGTTTTACAAATAGTGAAAATACTTAAGTATTAATTAACAAGTGCAGCATGGCTTCTAATAAAAATTGTTATTGACCTAAAATATTTTCTTTATTTAAACATGTTAAAAGGAGGGATCAGATTTTTATGATCACACGAAATAAAAATGAAGATCTTTGTAAATAATTGCAAAGACGTTTGCACAAGGTTGAGTCTGTCTGCCAAGTCCCATTGAGAATATGCCTAATGAGAACGGTCGTCGTGATGTCTCGTTGCCAATTACTGAAGAGACATTGTGATATTTCTTTGACATGGATGTTCTAGTTAGCAAGAAAGAATAGATATAAAAGAAATATATTGTTTACGTTGCAGTGTTTGGAAGGTACGTTATTTGATTGTTGTTTTCTGTTTTTGTAGGTCCTAAGGATTCTGAACACGGCGCACTTAGGGATGATTACCGAAGAAGAAGTGGAGAATTGTTAGCTGAACACCACCGACTGAGCGGATTGAATGGCCTAGACCCACTCCGCCTCAACACATCGCGAGATACAAACCCCAGAGATAATAGTCCTGATAGTTTACAACTAAGTCGACCGTCCAGCCCTGTACGGGTATGTGGATCAGCCTCACCGAGTCACGACCGCGCCACACCCATTCATGACGACGTGAATGACCAGGACAAATCTTCGAACTCTGTTCCTCAAAACAAGCCTAAGATCTGGTCTTTGGCTAACACAGCGACGTCCTCAACGCCTGCAGAGCGCTCCAGAACTCTGTTTCCTAGCGGACTCAATGGTCGCCATCCTGCTATTGCATTCGCAAGCCCCTATGACTCACCCATGTCGAGTCTCAGGCATTGGGTTAACGGACAGTTCCATGGGATTCCTCTTCCACCAGGTTTCCCCCTCCACCACTCACAGCTCGCCTTGGCCGCTGGTATGGCACACCATCAATTCTCTCATCCACAAGGAACCCAAGGGGCACCTACCAGTGTCGTCAGCAGCGCTCAAGCACCCCTCTTAGCAACCACACCCCACCACGCCCGCTACACAATGAGCAAAGAGCTTGCTTCGCATCAGAGTGGTATCACCGCCAGCATCCTCGCTTCAATTCAACACCAGAGAGAAAGTGAGTACCAGTCTCTTCATTTTATTTTATATCATGACATGTCTTTGTGAATTTTCTCATGTTGATCATTTTGTCTCATGGCTTGCATCATACATCCTGCAAAACAATATTCTTTCATTTTGAATAAGAAATTGAATCAGGGTCTTACAATGATCTTTACAAAGTGCATTAGCTATTCTTAAATTTGTCTTAAGAATTAAACATTCTCACAAAGTGGCAGAAGAAGGACATCAAAAATCCCTTTTCCGTATTTCGATGAATTTACATTGACCAACAGGCAAGCTATCACGTTGCTCAAATTGCAAAATTTGGAAGGAAAGAAAATGCCCCGAAACAGAAACATCGAGAACGGTGTAAGAGTAGGAGTGTGAGAGAACTGAATTGCTATTGCAGATGTAAAAAGGCTTGTTTTGTTGTTCAATTTTGGCGGGCATTGCTGTATAAGATGTAATCAAATTCGGAAGAGTGACATCTTAGTTTTCGAAACCCCCAGGCTCAATCTCTCTCCTTTCTCAGCTTTTTTGGGTGTTCTTCTTTTATTTTCTTGACCAAGTAAACCCGACGTGTTGATTATTTCTCACCCTTTCGGTGAGCATTGGCGGGAAGGAAGAGAGAAAAAAATGGTTGTTGAGTCGTCACCGTAGTTGTCAGAGTGGTTTTTGTATCGTGATAGGAAGTTGTCTTGAGTTGTCTAACAGTATTCATGCTTAGCGCAAAATGTCTCGGGTTTCCCCATCGCACTGCCACCTAGCCTGCGGTCGCAGAGAAGGGTTCTGGAATTAGCAGAATAAATGTTTATCCTCACCTAGTGAATTACATATTAATTTATTCAAATTAGCATTTATCTGCGCAGTAACTGATCATATTATTGTCGAACACAGCAGATCGGGTGATGAAGGCTGTTTTCACCCTTGCGCATTTTTGATGTCGTAGATTTAATAGTGTGCCTATAATGCTCGCGTTCTTCTCGCACATTGCCTGAGTCCCTGTAAGAGATACTGTCGGTTTATACAGCAATCGCCTCTAACGCTTTCCACTCTTTTACTCAGCGCTTCAAACAACGACCAGTGTCTGCTCTCATTTTAATTCCATTTTCAGTATCGATGTCCACAGTTATCTAACTTCTTTGTCACTCGAGTGCTGGAATTGAATCATTACGCATATCACCCATGATATTCCGCGAAGCTTTTTTTCTAAACGGCTCGCAAGAGTCTAGTCAACCATGTTTCGGGAGAGCGTTTAAGTTTGTGGTTGTCGGAAAGCGCCCGTGCTCTTTTCCGAGTAAATTAGCAATGTCAAAAACGCCCTGTTACTTGTTATTGGATCGGACTCGTTCAGGCAACGAAACTAGAGTTTGCCAACAATTAAAGAAAATAAAACAGCGATTAAGAGAGATCGAATCGCACAATCAGAGGTAAATCTTTCAGGCGATGATCGTAAAAGCAGGTTGTGTACGCATTTTATCCATTCCGCGCTAAAGGCTAACTGGCAAAGGACTGTTCAGAGATCAAGCAGAAAAAAATAGGGAATACGTTTAGCTGGAAACGAAAGAGAGAAAGGGAGATAGAGAGATAGAAAGAGAGAGAGAGAGAGAGAGAGAGAGAGAGAGAGAGAGAAAGGGAGATCGAGCGAGAGAGAGAGAGATCGAGAGATCAAGCAAACAAGTGTCATCAAAATGTCGAGACAAAATCACAGAATATCTCTCTTCCTCTAATTTCAGAGAGTGTTTTCTTCTCATAAAATTCCAAGCAATTCCACTGACCTTTTCAACCTAATCATGGCAACATATTCCTACATCCCGATTCACTCTCTCTCTCTCAGCCAGCTAAAATGAAAACCGCTCGTCAATGTATGTGTTTGTGTAGTTGTATGACAGCCAAAAATGTGATTCTGTATTTTCCAATATTTCTCTATGATCTTTTTTATTTTTGTTTCATCAAAACTGATTTTTAACAATCTCTGCATTTTCTTTTACTTTCTTTTGAATCTTCAGGCGAGTCTAGACAACATTCTCCTTCGCATTCAAGTGAAGAAATGCCTATGAGAACAGCATTCAAGCCAGTACAAAAAAGGTAAGCACATTTGATCAATAGCTATATGTGCATTATGAAGGCAAGGTTGAGAGAATTCATGTAAATGAAACGTGAACAAAATCGAAAGCAATGTATCAGCTATGAGGATAGATTGAAGAAGAAAAAAAATCAGTTCAACTCATTAAGATTTTTCCTTTAGAAATATATTGTCTCATGTCAATTTGTTAAAGTATTTATGAATTATCAAAGATATTGTAACCTTAATCGTTTTCTTTATTCACAACACATGTTTGTGTCAGCGTCTAAAAGTCTTGGACATCAATTCAAATACATTATTTAAGTAAAAACATTATGTATTTTTATGAAATGATATTCAGTCGATAGATATTTCATCTAAATGTTTTTTGTTCTTTCTTTTTCGTTCTCCAGACCTATTCTTGTGAGTGAGAGACCATCTGAGGCGGCTGGTTCGCCCGAGTCCCACCGTGAACCCCATCGTGAACCCATTAGGAGACCTATCGGTCTATCAATCGAGAGACTCACTTGTTGATAACTGGACAATAAGACTGGTCAGCAGAACTGACCACTACTTTGGTTGCAGACGCCGATTCCATGTGAAACGCCACAGCTACCACAGTGGATGAAGCCAGCCTCTGCCGACGACGAACTTTCTGTTTCTTGTATAAAAAATAGAGTATAAGAAAGCGACTCCATGACTGAGAGACTTTAAAGCTATCCGCTGGGCGATGAGCTGAACTTTTTTCCCCTCGTCGGATACACGAATTGCAATTTGAGGAAACAGGTCAAGTAAGAAGAGGGGATATTGGTGAGAGTGTTTTAATGATTGGAGCGGAGATTCGAACATGTATCTTGGGAGAAGAACATGATGTCGAGTGAGAAAGAGATCGAACCCGGCACCCCTACACACCACGGCCTGTCTGCATTTAAACATGAGCAACCAGCTCCTCAACTAATACCCCTCCATGCGAGGCCAACTCCCAGAGAGAGGGGTAAGACGTGTTAGGGAGATGGTAGACGGGTAGTTGGCCGAGCAGGTGAAAGACAGAGCTGGATTCCCTCACCTCATCGATACAAACATGTTTCGGATCATCGCGTGTAGAGACCCCATGAATAAAACAATACCCATCCAATTAAATCAAAGCTCTGTTTCAAACAAACCTGCTGCATCTCTAAAGCCAGCAAGAGATTGCGCGCCTGCTGTAAAGAATAAATTGTACACTGGATTTGGGATATAAAACGAAAGCCAAGATGGGGTGCTGGATTTCTTACACCTTGCTAAGCGCTTTAAAAGCTAAAATCTTAAATATTGAGGATTTGCTCTGACCAGGTTCATTCCCGAGTTGATCCCTTGTGAGTATTTATAGCTGTAGTAGATTCGAATGCAAGGGATCGTCTTGACATCTACATGTAGATCTCCCACCAAGACCACATAATCACGTCACTTAACGATGAAACCATGTCTTGGGTTTCAAACTGTCCTTTAGTTAACCGAGAACTTTCATCGTGGAAATCCGATGTTGATCTTTAGATGGGAATTTGAGTTAAAACGTACTAAAGATAGAGTCAGAGCGGAAATGGTTTCACAAAGTGAGTCACATTTTAAGGACATACCGTAAACATGTCCACATCTAACAAAGATAAAAGCTACCATAAATGTCGTTTAAATCAATCGATGTCCTGCATTGAAAGTTGTCTAATCATGATTATTACGTATTCAACGCTGAATGAAAATTCTAAGAATGAACCGATCTCCCATTATTTCTTTCGATTACGGGTATTAACAATGACCATTGTGTTTCGTGTAAATTAACGAATATGTATGGGGATTTGTGAATTAATTTTTAACATGGTCTTAATTTTGTGGAATATGTGACCCACATTAAGAGGGGGAAATGTTATATATGGGATGGACTTGATTCGAAGCTGGGCTATGTGAATCTTGCAATCTTCTGTATGTTTTCATTTATTACTAATCGAATTTATATTGATTGTGATTTTAAATCATTGAATATGATTGACAACAGTATTAACTGGCCAGAATTGAGAATAATTTGACTTGATTTGTAATCACTGACCTTTAAAAAAATTAATTGTGACTTTGGGGACCAAACAATGCATCGTATGCATAAACAAGTTTTGTTTTATGTACTTTGTAAAATAGAATTCGATTGGTTGTTTCAGTGTTGAAGGTTTACGTATTTGTCACGTGGTTTAAAGGCCACCAATCATAGGAGCTTTAACGTCACTATATTTGTAATGGCCGCATTGCACTATCTTAACAAGACAGCACAAACCAATCCTCTATGATCTTCAGTAAGCGTTGATTTTCTTGTGATAAACTTAGTGTAGAATGCCCTTTTGCCGTTCAGTATCCATTCGTCGTAACCTGTTTTATGTGTTGATAATCTCTTTAAAATCCATTGTTTGGATTTATACACGTTAAAAAGGAAGACAATGTGTTATACTGTACAAATACCAAAGGCATGACAATTTATTGTGGTAGCCTCTGAGTGGTAAATTTTTCAAATTTTCAGAATCTCGCACCGGTACTGCTTTAAAATGATATGATGGCAGTGGGTTATGTTAAGTTGAAGTCAGATTTTTATGTACAAAACACAGCAATGATTTACAGTGATCTTGACGAAAGGGAATTGTTATGAAATTTTATAACATTTCTATAAGGCGGGAAATTCATGTCACCCATCCCCAAGCAAGCTGTTCTAACTGACATGTAGTATTAGTGTGCAATTATTTTGTAAAAAGAACATGAAAATGAATTTGACGGACTACTTGAAATGTGAGTAGAATTCTCCGTATACTAAATCATAGTCTATGTTTCAAAGAAAAGTTGAGTTTTTATATAATTAATTCTTGTCAATTTGTGGAGAGAAACTTGCGATGTCAATGTGTGATTATCTCTTTTGAATCCCAACGGTCTTGGACAATAGTAGTTTTTATTTTCTTGTTATTGTTTATATATTATGTACAAATAAAAATATGAAATGATTTAATGTAAGAACTATTGTCGATTAGGTGTCAATACTATTATCATAATTATCATTATTGTGTATACATTTTCCTCAAGAACTGTACATAAATTTGGAAGTGAACATTTGAAATAAAAACAGACTTCTGTGAGGGTACGAAACAATGAATATCAGGCTCAGTCGAATTCATTTGTGATCACATCATGTTGTCCGACGAACTACAATAAGTATAAAAGTAATGAAAAGCTCACGTTTATGAGAGAGAGAGAGAGAGAGAGAAAGAGAATGTGTGACAGAGATTCAATGGAAAGAAACAGAGAAAGGTAACATGAAGAGAAAGACACATACATTTCAGCCAAGATATACGACAGGAGAAAGGAAGGGATGGCGAGAAGAGAGAGAGAGAGAGAAAGAAATGGGGAATGGAACAAGAGTGGAATAGATAGAGAGAGGGGGGCAGATAGATGGAGAGAGAGGTCGAGAGAGGTCTAGAGAGGAGAGAGAGAGAGAGAGATAGAGGGGATAGAGGGTGTATGGGAGAGAGAGGATGAGATATATACATATATATATATATAAAGAGAGAGAGACATACACACACACACACACACACACACACACACACACACATAGAGGGCGGGAGAGAGAGAGAGAGAGAGAGAGAGAGTGTAAGAGAGAAATAGAAAGGAGTTGTATCAGGAGATGCGGAAGGGAGGGGGTAGGGGGCAACGGATTTGGGGCAGGGATGGTTGGAAAGAAAATTGTACTAAAATTCAGAGAACAATAAGATATCTGATTATGCTGGCAGGAAGGGACGACGAACCCTTCATATAATAGTTATAAGATAGGAATTATAGTTAAAGAATAAAAAGAAAATAGAATATTATAAAAGAAGGACTGTGCCAGGTTAGGGAAAAAGACATTCGAATTGCATAATGATCATACTTTAGTTATTCATCACGATTACCTTCCAACTCGCAACAAACTAGAAACATAAAACAAGATGGGGTTCGGTACATGACGAAGCATGAGCAGCATCAGAATGAAGAACTAAGGATGGATGAATGAAGGAGGAAAAGGAAGGACGAGTACAAGAAGAAGGCGATGTCGCTTGCTGCCTGTCACATAGGTAGGGAGAGCCTTGATACAGACATTGCATTTATTCATAATGCATGCGACCTGTGACCATGACAGTGCTCATGGTCCCCCGGTGAACCTTCGGCGCCAGGGTTCACTCCGCTCCGCCGCCGCCGAATAATTTTCTTGGATATCAAAACATCACACTGAACATTCACGGTAGGCAAACTAAATCTATGAGCAAAGATAGCAAAATTCGACTTGTAGAAACAATGTTGCATTTGAAATGAGGTTCCTTAGACTTCCAAGTGTTACAAGATAATTCGAATGGGCAGTCACCTAACTTCTAATATGTTACTATTTTATTTATAAACATACTGTGACTCATGTGAGTCATACTATAATAACGATAACACTGTTCCACATATGAATTCTTAATTTTCGCAAAATTACCGAAAACCAGATAAAAAGGGACGAAACGGCAATAGCATTAACGGTCGAAGATTACAATTTTATAACAGTGGTGTACACGAATAAAACTGCATTCCTCATGTATGATATACGTCAAAAATGAAATAGAATACAATACTACCGGTGAGTTAGTAGATAATGAAATCTGGTACCCGTTAATATAACAATCATGTTAATGATAATGATAATAATAATAACAATAATATATTAATAATATACTAATAATGATGATAATAATATAATAATAATGATGATAATAATAATGGTAAAAATGATAATTATGATAATAATAATGGTCAAAATGATAATAATGATAATACTTAAAACTAAAATAATGGGAATAGTCACCACCATCATCATCATAACAATTATAACAGCAAAAGAGTAGGAGATGGTCGACTCTGTGATTAGGAAATTATATATTCAAATACATTAAGCGTACGACGGATTTGGTATGTTGGAGCTGATGACTATATACCACCGTAAGCAATGGCGTGGCTTTCAGCACCTATAGTGTAGATTCCTTAGAATCCATTATCCACTACAATGATTGTAGTTATTAAGTCAAATTATTATTAAAGGCAATTCCACGATTGTGAGAGAGGGCCGGGTAAACACATCTAATTGAAGCACGCAAAAAACATTCATTGTATAGAGAGAAGGGGGCGGGGGTGGCCAACTTTTTGTGTTCCTCATGTGAATTCGCCAAAATGTATGCAAGCACGTCGTAGGCTACTTCATAGATAATTTGTTCACACGCAAGTTGAATGTCTTCACACTATAATGATGTGATATGTCTTACAGGATTAATATAACAGTGTGAAAACATGGATGCCCCCCCCCCCCCCCCCCCCAAACAAAAAGGCTTATGTTGATGGCGTAGGCAACAATGGGCATTAGCAGCGTCTAATTTCAATATAGTGCACATTATCGACATTATATTATTCTCGCACAGAAGAAGGTCCAGCTCATTAAAACATCATGCCTCCAAGCAGAAATTAACGCTTTTAATTATTAACACG